GGCAGTCTTTATATTTGTTCTTGCTTTCATCTTTTCTTAATGAGTGTTTGCTTGTAAAAGAACTCGTTTCACTCTCTAAATGAAATGTTCTCTAAATAGCCAGGAAGGAGAAATCATGACCGCTGTTTATAATATGAACTGAAAAGATGAAGAAAAAAAATATTGCTTCTATGTTTTAATTAGCGGCTTAAATGAAAAAAAAATACAAGAAGATAAGTTTGCCGTAAGTTTGGTTTCAGTGTAAAAGAGAAGTGGTATGAACATCAACCAGAGGCAGTGGTGGAAAATGGCAATCACGAGATATTATGGGATTTCTAAGTCCAAAGAGGTCATCTCACTGAAGCACAAAGACTGGACCTTATTGTTATAGATAAGAAGAATAGCAAATGCCAAATTATTGACTGTTCCATATAATACGAGATTAGACACTAAGGTAAAGATAGAAAAATGCCAGGATATGCTAGGGAGATTAAAAAGCAATGGAACATGAATTTAGAACTAATTCCTGTCGTAGTGGAGTCGTCTGGAACACCGCCTAGAAAATTGAAATAGAATTGGAATTGAGACCAGAATGGTAAAACCTCAGAAAACTGCGATTAGTCACATTGGGAGGATTCTTCGAAATTTTTCTCTAAGAGCAGTTTTTTTTTTAGCATCACGACGCAAGAAACGAATTTCCATTGACTGCGTCAATGTTCGACACCGATATAATAATAATAATAATAATAATAAAGACATTTTTCGTCTAAGAGAATAAAAGAGACAACATTTTCTGCAACGTTCAGATCGAAACAAGGCAGATGAATGGGATTGAGTTATCATCATCCTCATAATCATCATCATCATCATCAGTCCCATGACTGGTTGTGGTCGTAGGGTCGCTGCGCAGCTGAACAGCTGATCAGCTACCTCCACATGTCTCGGCAGTCTTTCACTCATGCGTACCGTGTTTGGGGCAAAGTAAACCTGACGAAGCCAATTCCTCTCCAGGTCAGGTCAGGTCACAGGCGATGTCCTCTGACTTGTATTTGGAACGGCCCCAAAGAGGCTAGCAACAAGTATGAAATGACTGGAACTCCGATGAATAATCGTAACGATCCGGATAACAGTTTTGAATATCGAGAAGAGTTCATAAGTATTAAAGACACTTGCTGTCACCTGATTCCGAAGTAAGAGGTGTGCTGAAATGTTCTCGGCCAGGAACAATATAGGAAATTGACCTTTTCTCGAAACAGGAATGTAATTCAATCACGAGACAAGAAAATTCCAAATTCCAAACTAACTAGCACGGAAAACAGCGAGTGAGTTATTACAGCTAAAATTCTATAATATCAAGGACACACACACACACACACACACACACACACACACACACACACACACACATATATATATATATATATATATATATATATATATATATATATAAATTATAATTATATTCTTACTCTGTCCTGGACATTTAGTTCTACCTGGATTCTATCCTCTTGGGAATTTATATATATATATATATTATATATATATATATATATATATATATATATATATATATATATATATAAAATAAAGAACTCATCTAACGTCCTCGTTCCTGTCGATAAAGCTAAGAACATGGAGGAGGAGGCCGACTGCTTCTCGAAATCCTCAAGTAATTATGAACTCCGCAATTCTTTCCTTAGCTGGATAGTATGTCCATCGCCAGGGCTACATACTGTTTTTGAATTCAGAGTTGTTCTTTTCCTAGACCAGCTGCCAACTGGTGCTGAAGAGCCCAGTCTGCTCTACTATTTAACCCACTGCTAGATGTAGAGAGATGGATTCATATTGTTCCCAAGGCTATTTGTAAGTGGCTATAACAAATTCGACTGGAATTCGAACTCGGCTGTCCGATTTCTCACAACGACCGTTATCCATTACACCACCGACATATCCAACTACCTCATCTGCACATCAACTAGAAACAAGTCAGTCAATCAATCAGTGCTATACGCCATACACGCTCTTTCGATTCATGAAGGACTAGGCAGAAGATATTCCCGCAGTAGGTAGCCGTTTCTTTTTGTGGTAAACTGGCTATATGACTCTTTCCTGCTATTCAACCCATAGCTGAGATGGATTCATATCTTGTCCAAAGGTATTTGTGCGTAAGTGATTTAATGAACCCGACTAGAGACAACTTGACGCTAAAATCCCCAAAACACAACGGGTTTTTATTTGATTTTTATAATTAATCTCTGATTTTCATTTCTATTTTGAAGAAGCAGTTATTTTCAGATTATGGATATCAATTTTCCAGTCGACCACACAGAAAATATCTGGACACTGTTTACATTATTCGAACTATTGTCCTCATCTTTATCGCCATATTTATTACAACGTTTCGGCCGTTGTACGCCCCGGTCTTCTTCAGGTAGTTGGAATGTCGAACTGAACCTTTATTTCGCTCACTGGGGTAGACTGTTCTAGTTCCACCTGCCATGTTTAATGGATGTTAGTTGTCAGTTAAATTTCCCCTTAGTCGGTCCGATGTAAAGACATATTTGGGTAGCCTAGTGGTTATCAACGCGGGTTGTGAAATCTGGACGTCGATTTCAAATTTCCTCTCCGTATATTGCATTCTCTTCCCACTAATGCTCTTAAGAAAGGTATGGAAGCATTTGTATTTTTTCTTATTTCACAAGAGTCAGCTGGGAAGTTCATAGTCTAAATATGAATACGTAACGCAGCAGGCCTAACAGTTGCTGCATTGTGTCTACTAACGTATCTTTTAATCTATCTACTGGTGTGTCTAATTGAATGTCTTTTAGTTTATCAAGTGGTGTGCCTATTTACATTTACATCATGGTCAGTCTATGAACTTTCCAGCCGACCTTTGTAAATACCAAGCCCTATCAAATCATAACTGTCCTTTGTCGCCCTAAGTAAACCATTTTAACCTTTACCGGCCCTCTTTGTCTGTGTTTTGCCATTCATATGCTGCTGCTTCTTCTATTATGTGCAATGTCCCTGTAGGATGTATGTGAATATAGCTCTCCACAACTTCCTGTCTAATGTTGCTCTCAGTAACATTTGACCTTTTATCATGCCTATTTGTCTTTGTTTTGCCATCTATATCTCGTTCTTTTATGTACAATATCACTCCAGGTTATGGGTGATCATAGCTCTCCACAACTTCCCGTGATTTGTTGCTCTAAGTAACATGTGACTCTTTACCATCCGTCTCCATCTTTGTTTTGTCACCCGTTCGCGCAAGCTTGTTAAATAGTTTACTCGTTGTTTCCACCGTTTCTCTTACCTTCGGTATATCATGTGAGTCTTAAATTCTCCAGCTCTACTTTCCTCATTATGTAACCTAATAATATGAACTGTCTCTCTTTGATTATATAAATAATTCCCTTGATGTTTTTATTTTCTTGCAGACTTCTTAGTTTTTCATATGTTCGGTTAATAGTATATTTAGTATTAGTCGGTAAAACTACATCTGTCGCTTGAAGTCTGTTCTTTAACTGAGAGGGAATCTTTCAGAATTCATTGGAAGATAGAAGATTAGATAGTACATAGCAGTTCAGCAAAGCTTTATTAGTTTTCAACGAATTTTCCTATCTCCTAATACTTTATTTTTGTTCTAGAAGGCTTCTTTCACTATTCCTATGTCCAATGTAGATTGAGCATTTTAAAACAACCAGTCTATGACGAAAGGTCTGAATTTCAAACCATTATCTTTTTCAAGAAGGCTTGCAATTCACATGACACTGTCACGCATTGTATATGATTCGAACTGCTGTCTTGTGATTATGGTCGTTGTTCCGTAGTGGGCCGTTACGGTTATGTCGTTGTGCTAGTCTCCATGGCTGTCTTCATCCCAACAAATCAAATACGTATTGTTTCTGTTTCTTTTTTTACCACGAGAAAGGTTTTATTGAAGTAATACATAGCAAATATGAATATAGTTTATATTGGCTACTTTTATTGTCCCCAGTAGAAAAATTTTGCCAGTTAGCTGTAAGTGAGAGAGAGAGAGAGAGGGTGAAGTGAATGAAAGAACTTTCTAATCCTACTCCGTTTTAGACCCATGTGTTCGCTACCAAGCAAAATATTCTCACTGAAGAATCTTAGAGGAAGAAACATTTTACTAGAAAATCTCTCTAGTTACTGATTCGTAAGTTCACGGGCCAATGAAAATGCACCAATGCAACCTACTGCTTTTTTTCTTCTTGACTGTCAAGTGACCCTATCAAATATATCGTATTTTTGAATATTTTCTAGAACCTGAATATTTTTCTGTTTATTTCTTAGAAGATTTGTTTTTTCTTCTTAATTCAGAACATTAAATTATACTCCTTTATTCCACCCACACAATATTACAAAATGAGTCTGTGGAGAAGGACAAAGCATTAAAAAAAGGCTTAGGGGACGAGTTTAAAAACTGAAATCGAAACAAAAAAAAATGTAGCGACCTATTCGTGGAATAATGACAATGCTTCATCTTGGCTGAGATAAGAAGAAAACATTTCTTAAATACGAAATTAAGTTTAGAATTAAAAGCTTGCTCTTGAGAATTTGAGCTCATAAATTAAGGGGTTAGACATAGCGGCGACGTGCCAGTGGTTGAAAGTGCGTTAGCATAAATCAAATTGGTCGGGTAGCTGAGCTATGACCACGCCAGGGAGCTGTCCGCAGATCGGATCACGATTTGGTCAGTTCAGCTTGATGAATGGCAACGACGTCGAGATAAGGCAGCATCGAGAGCCAAAAGCAACATTATTGACATGTCGAGATCCTCCAGTGTCCAAATAAGATAGAGATGCTAGGAAAATGAAAGATACGGATAAGAAAGGTAGAGAAAGAAAAGAAGGAAATAAAGAAGAGAAAAAAAGAAGTTGGAAATGAGGCTGTTGAGTGCGGAAGAAATAGGGAATGTTCAAAATGTCGAGAAATAAAGAACAATAGAAGACAAATTGATTTGGGAAAGATCGGTTCGAGAAAAAAGACAGACGGAATTAGAGTGGCGGACAGAAAGAAAGAACGAAAAGAAAAAAAAAACAAATAAGATGAAATGAGGAAAGAAAAAAAAGAAAACATGCAAGAAAGAACTTAAGCAAGAAAGAAAGAAAGAAAAAATGAAAAAAGAAAGAATGAAAGCAAGAAAGAACGAAAAAAGTAAGGAAGGAATGAATGAAGTAAGAAAGCAAGCAAGAAAGAAAGGGAGAAAGAATGACAGACGGAAGAAAGAAAGAAAGAAGTAAAGAAGGAATAAAGAAAGAAAGCCAGCAAGAAAGAAGGGGAGAAAGAATGAATAAAGTAAGAATAAAAGACAGAAGGAAGAAAGAAAGAAAGAAGTAAAGAAGGAATGAAGAAAGAAAGCTGGCAAGCAAGAAAGGCAGAAAGAATGAAGAAAGAAAGAAAGAAAGAAAGAAGGAAAGAAAGAATGAAGAAAGAAAGCTAGCAAGAAAGAAAGGAAAATGAAGAAAGAAAGAATGAAAGCAAGAAAGGCAGCAAGAAAAAAAGAGAGAAATAATGAAGAAAGAATGAATTAAGAAAGAAGGAAAGAAAGAAAGAAAGAAAGAAAGAAGTAAAGAAAGAATGAAGAAAGAAAGCTAGCAAGAAAGAAAGGGAGAAAGAATGAGGAAAGAAATGAAGAAAGAAGGAAGGAAAGAATGAAGAAAGAAAGCTAGCAAGAAAAAAGGAAGAAAAATGAAGAAAGAAATATAGAAAGCAAGAAAGAACGAAAGAATTAAGGAAGGAATGAACGAAGCAAGAAAGCCATCTAGAAAGAAAGGGAGAAAGAATGAAAGACAGAAAGAATGAAAGACAGAAAGAAGAACGAAAGAAAGAAAAAAGAAAGAAAGAGAGAAGTAAGTAAAGAAGGAATGAAGAAAGAAAGCTAGCAAGAAAGAAAGGGAGAAAGAATGAAGAAAGAAAGAAGGAAAGAATGAAGAAAGAAAGCTATTAAGAAAGAAAGCTAGCAAGCAAACAAGAAAGACGTAAAAAAAAAAAGGAATAAAGAAAAAAGCTAGATAGAAAAAACAAACAAGGAAGAAAGGAAATAATGAAGAAAGAAAGCAGGAAAGAAAGAAAGAAGTAAGGAAGAAAAGAAGGAAGAAAGAAAGCTAGCAAGAAAGGGAGAAATAATGAAGAAAGAGAGAATGAAAGACAGAAGAAAAAAAAAAGAAAGAAGGAAGGAAGTAATGCAGTAAGAAAGCTAGAAAGAAAGAAAGCAAGCAAGTAAAGAAGAAAGACGGAATGAAAAAAGAAATAGAGAAAACAAGCAAGAAAGAGAGGAAGAAAACAAGAAAGAAAGAAAGGAAGAAAAAATGAAAAAGAAAGAAAGAAAGAAATAAGGAAGGCACGCAAGAATGAAGAATGTAAGCATTAAAAAAAGAAGGGGAGAAAGAATGAAGAAAGAAAGAATGAAAAACAGAAGAAGAAAGAAAGAAAGAAAGAAAGGAGGAAGGAAGGAATGATGGATTGAAGAAAGAAATCTACCAAGAAAGAAAGCAAACAAGACAGGAAGAAAAAAGTAACGACAAAAAGACAGAAAACAGGCAAGAAAGAAAAGGAGAAAAATGAAGAAAGAAAGAATGAAAGAAGGAAACCTATCAAGTTAAGAAAGATAGCAATGAGACAAGAAAAGCAGAAGGAATGTAAAATGAAAGAAAAAAACAAGGAATGAAGAAAGAAAGTTAGCAAGAAAGAAAGCAAACAAGCAAGGAAGAAACAAGGAATGAAAAATAGATAGAAAACATGAAAAAATAATGAAAGAAAGAAAGAAGTAAGGAAGGAATGAAAGAAGAAAGTTATCAAGAAAGAAAGCAAGCAAGCAAACAAGAAAGAAAGAAGGAATTTATAAGAAAGAAAAAAAGAGGAATGAAGAAAGAAAACTAGCAAGAAAAAAGAGGGAGAATGAAGAAAGAATAAATGAAAGACAAAAGAAAGAATGAAAGAAACACGTTAGGATGAAGAAAGAAAAGTAGCAAGAAATAAAAAAAGAACGTAAAAAGAAAAAAACAAATAAGAAAGAAAGCTAGCAAGAAAGTAAGATGGAATGTGAAAAGAAAGAAAAAATAAGGAATGAAGAAAGAAAGCCACTAAGAAGAACGGAAACAAGCAAGCAAGAAAGAAGGAATGAAAAAGTAAGACAGAAAACAAGCAAGAAAAAAAGAAGAAATGAAGAAAGAATGAAAAAGACAGAACGATTTGAGGAGGGAAGGAATGAAAAAAGAAAGCTTGTAAGAATGAAAGCTAGAAAAAAAACAAGAAAGAAGGAAGGAATGTAAAAAGAAAGAAAAAAGATGGAATAAAGAAAGAATGAATGGAAGAAAATGAATGAAAGAAAGAAGGAGGGAAGTAATGAAGATAGAAAGCTAGCAAAAAAGTAAGGCAGAAATACTGAAGAATGAAACACGAAGAAAAAATGAATGAAAGAAAGAAAGAAAGATAAAAGGATAGTAAAAATGAAGAAGAAAAGCTAGAAATAAATAAAAAAGGAATGTAACAAGAAAGAAAAAACAAGGAATGAAGAAAGAAAGCTAGCAAGAAGTAAAGAAGGACTGTAAAAAGAAAGAAAAAAAAACAAGGAATGAAGAATGAAGGCTAGCAAGAAATAAAGCAAATAAGTAAGGAAGAAAGAAGGAACGAAAAAGGAAGAAAGATAGTATGAAAGAAAAGAAGTAAAAAGAAAGAAAGACAGAATGAAGGAAAAAAGAAATTAAGGAAAAAATAAAAACAGAGAAAGAAGGATTAAAGAAAGAAAGAAAGAAATAAGATGTGAAACTGTTGAAGGAAAGAGAAGGCAAGAATAAAAATATCAGGCAAAAGAGAATAAATAAAGTTACGAAAAATAATCAAAGAATAAACAATAGAAACGAAACCGAAGAAAATATGTATGTAGACAACCAAATAAAATGCAAAAGAGGAATAAGAAAAAAATAATTAAAGCAGGGGAAAAACAAAACTTAAGCAATCAATGAAAATGAACAAAATTAAATAAAGGAATGAAGAAATGAATAAAAAAACCAAAAAAAAAATAAATAAAAAAATAAAAAACAATTAGCTAAAGAAGAAATAATTATAAATAAAAAAATAGAAAGAACAGAAGGAAAATAAAAACGTAGAAATCATAAAAAAGAATAAAAGGGAGACGGATTTTAAAAAGAGGAAGAAGGCTGATTGGAAATAGGAAAGATAGAAAGAAGAAGAAGAATAAACAAAGAAAACATTAACGTACAAAGAAAGTTAAAATGAAAAAAATGAAGGTAAAAAGGAATGAACGCATGTAGAAAATGAGATGAAATAGCAAAAAAAAAAAAAAAAAAAAAAAAAAAAAGAGAAAAGAATATAAGGAGCTGGAATTATGAAGAATGTGAAACGGGTGGCTAAAAATACAAGGAAAGAAGAAAAAAATGGAAAATGATAGACCAGAGGAATAAATATGTGTGAAAATGAAGAATAAGAGAAATTTGCATTAAAATATGAAGAGAGTATTTTCACGTAAGCTGAATTGACAAGAATATGAAGGAGCAAAATCAGCTTTCAAACCAAGTACAGACTGTACAAATCGCTGGTAGTCACCAGTCTTTTATATTGATGTGAACCGTGGACACTGATGGCGGAAACAGAGAAGGATCCAAGAGTTTGAGAAAAAATGCACGAGAAAACTCCTTGGCATTTTCTATTGGGAACAAAAAACAATGAGTTTGTGCGGAAAAGGGGCGGAACCTCTTTTCGCTACTGTCAAACGGAGAAAAATGGCGTGGTTTGGACATATTACAAGGCACGACAGCCGGTGCAAGACCATCATGCAAGTCACCGTTGAAAGTGGACGTAGGAGAGGACGTCAACACAAAAACTGATTGGACAATGACAAACAATGGACGGGTACCAGAATTGCTGATGGCTGCAGTTGATAGACCGTTATGGTGTGGCTTCTGTATTCGGATCCGCCCTACAATTACAAAAGCCAAGGGGGTGATGATGATGATGATGATGATGTTGATGATTAATTTAACGAACCCGATAGTAATTCGAACTTGGGACTCCTATTCCGAGCCGATAACCATTAGACCACCCAACAAAGCAAAGAAGAAACAAGGAAGTGAAGAATAAAATAATAGGAAACTTTAAATGAAGAAAGAATTGTGAAATACGAGGAAAGAGTCTGGAAATAATGTTAGATGAATGTACGATGAGAAGAATTGAATTTTGTGAAAAAGAAAACAAATGGTTTAAATGAATGAATAAGGAAAATGTGGAAAAAGAAAATACAATTCCCCATCTTGAACTAAGATATAGCCTTAGGTAGATGAGGACGTCTCTACTAGAAAACGTTCGTCGTTCAAATGATGACTGATCTCTTTTACCACTCTCCAACGGAAAGCGTTCACACTTGTCTTCAACCAATGAAGTAAATCAACCTTTTCTTTGCTCGTTCCAAATCAGCGCAAGCCTGACATGAGCTAGACCATTACGACCATGGTTTAACGTGCAACGATGAACTAAGTACAAACTTTACTTTGATCGTTTCAACTCTGCGCAAGTATGACTTGAGCTCGACCATTACAACAATGCTTAAACCATCAAAGATAAATAAGAACAAGCTTTATATTGGTCGTTCCAACTCAGCGCAAAGCTTATTTGAGCTCAACCATTATAACGATGCTTATTCTTACCTTAATTTCTGGACCAAAAAGAAAACACTACTTCCAAAAAGGATTAGAAAAAGAAACTATCTTTTCCACTTTCCAAAGCATAGCCTTCACGTGTGTTTTGCTGAAACTCCACCGATGTAGTATAACAAGTTTTATTTTGGTTATTCCAACTCAGTGCAAGATTGTGTTGAGCTCGGTCATTTTAAATAGCCGTGAGACATTGAAAGTTTTTTTCACTACTGTTTCTATAAAGGAGGAATACACGCTCCGTAGTAGAAAGACAAGTTTTTGAAAACATCTTTAATTGTTTACATGTGAACACGCACCCACGTACAATAAACAATAATGCCTTAAATACCATAAAAGGTAGGAAAGAGGAAAAGTGTTGTATAAGACTAAGTGCCGTTGCCGACACTGTGGTTTGAAACTGAAACCATTATTAAATGATCATAAAGGAAGTGAATAAATAGGAAGAATCCTGATGAATATACGATCACTGTCCACTCTTCTTGTCTATCCACTATTGCTATACGTTCACTCTCTCTACTCTAATACTATACAGATTACGATGTTCATAAGATTATTATACTATTTGGCGATTACTACTTGAACAAGTATTACTAATGCGGATATTACTGAAAGGCAAGTACAAGTATTGGCGTCAACGAAGTCTCGAATATAACAAGCATTTCTGAAAGTGATAACGAGCTTTCGCTTGACATAGCAAAAGTAACAAGCGAAGCCGTCCAACATCACAAAAGAAAGAAAAGAAAGAAAAAAGGAAGTGACGAATGAAAATATGATGAAAGGTCGTAAAAAAGAATGAGTTGAAAGAATAAACTTGTAGAAGTGAGGATAAAAAAGAAGAATAAGAAAAGAAAGAATTAAATTATGTGAACAAAGAAAGAAAAAGAAGAAAAGAATGAAAGTCATGATAACTTGTGATTTTGTGCTAGCACTGCCATCCACAGATTTAAAAAAAAAATCCATTTATCCAATTTCGCTCACAACGACTGGGTTAGACAGCGGCATGAGCTTCAACCACGTTCCAAATGATCAACTCCTCTGGTCGATACTATCAAGAATTCAAATCCCCCAATGATGGGATTTGAACCCAGTTCTCATAGCTATAAAGCGGATGTTCTAACCCTTCGGATATATGACTGTATAATAATGCTGAGTACAGCATTTCATATAGGTCTAGAATATGGAGAAGGCGATTTGATATTAAAAACAAACTACGAACGTGTATGTAACTTCAGAATTGAATTAAGAAAGTATTTATAAAACAAAATGATATTCGAGTTTTATCTGATATATATATATATATATGTGTGTGTGTGTGTGTGTGTGTGCGTGCGCGCGTGCGCGCGTGTGTGTGTGTGTGTAGGCGCAGTAAACTTCATAAAACGTTTACCATTTAATAAGTTTAATATATATGAATAAAATTAAGGTAAAAGGAAAAAATGAAAAAATAAAAGTTATGAATGGAAATATAACGAAAGAAATGAAAAAAAAAGGGCAGGAAGAGAAGGAAAATACGGTAACGAGGAATGAATAAAAGGGGAAGAAAAGAAGAAAAAAGGAAGAGAAAAGGAAGAAAAATGGAATGAAAGGAATGGAATAAATCTCGTGAAAAGAATGAATAAAAATGAAAGTCAAGTAAAAGAAAAAGAAAAATTGTCAGAAAAAAAAAATAGGTGTAAAAAAAGCAGCGGTGAAGGGCAAGTAAATAAAAAAGAAAATAACGCGGATCCAGGGATGAGAAAGAAAGAAAGAAAGAAGAAAAGAAAGAAAGAAAGAAAGAAAGAAAAGAAAGAAAGAAAAGAAATAAAAGAAATAAAGAAAGAAAAGAAAGAAATAAAAGAAAGAAAGAAAGAAAAGAAAGAAAAGAAAGAAAGAAAAGAAAGAAATAAATAAAAAACAGAAATAAATTTAGAAAAAAAAGAATAAAAACAGGAAGAAAGAAATAACAATGAAAGAGAAAAAGAAATAATGAAAAGGAAAAATGTAAACGGGAAGAAAAGAAAAAGAAGAAGCAAAAACAAAAATAACAAAGTATAAACAAAGAGAAAGTAAAAAACAGAAATGAAAAAAAAAAATAAAGTAACAGAGAAACAAAGACGAAAAACAGAAAAAGGAAAATTAATAAAATAATGAATGCAAGAAAATCACAGAATCTAAAAAAAAAACAATAAGAAAGAAATGAAAAACTTGAAAGCCTAATAGAAAAAAAAGAAAGAAAAAAGAAAAGGAATAAACGCAAAAAGAAAATAACAGTAAGAAAATAAGACAGAAACAATTATGATTAATGCAAAGAAAAAGAAAGAAACAAACAAAAATCAAAATGCAAAGCAATGAAGGAAAAGGAAAAAGCGGAATGAAAGATAGACGGAAGTAATGTGTGAATAAATGAAAGAAAAAGCAGTGTAATAAAAAACGGCCAAGGAAATAATGAAGACAACGAAAGAAAGAGAGAAAAAAGAAAGTCAGAAATAAATAAATTAAAAAGATGACATCAAAACAGTAAAAAAAGAAAGAAAGAAAGAACGAAAGGAAGAAAGAAGATAAGAATAAATGCAAGAAAAAAAAAGAAAATAATGAAAATCAAGCAAAGGCGCGAAAATAAAAAAAGTGAAGATAAAAAAAAAAAATGAGAAAGATGGTTTGTATGAAATCAAGACGATAAATAAAAAACTTAAAAATCGCCCACAAAATAAGAAAATAACGCAGATTTCTATGGGACAACAGCCAACAATACAATCGTCGTAGGGAATGGCCCTGCGGCGAATCCCCGGAGAGGTCCTAATGAGACAATTACTATTGTTGCCTTCGGCCAAGTGCATTCCACTTTAGGGGAAGACGATTGGATGGGATATTAGCAACAAGAAGCGAATCATTTTCCTTCAGGCGTGCTTTTGAATTTGGTAATCTCAGCTTTTCCGAAAAAAAATATTTCCTTCAATTTTTGTTTCTTTTACTATTCACTATTCTTATATATACATTACTTATATTGTATGATGAGAGTTGATCAACATGAAATCGACGAACAGAGATCGATTTCCAGCTGAAGCGCTTAGTTTTCATTTAGCGCTAATATTCTTGGGAAAGATATGAATCCATATTGTGTTGATGTGTGTATGTATGTATACGCGTATGTGTCTATGGGGATATATTATGCCGATGAAATAATTTCGAGAAATGAACAACGAAAATAAATATGAATCCTCCGACAAGAATCGAACCTGTATCCTACACGGAACCTTTGAGATTTATCGGACATTGAGGCCGGTAAATATTGTTAATATTGTTTATTATTACTTAAATATTTGTATCTATAAAAATAACGTATTAGCAAAAAAGTAATTGTTGGATTTAGTCTATTTCATAATATAAATATATATATATATATATATATATATATATATATATATATATATATATGAGAGAGAGAGAGAAGAGAGAGAGAGAGAGTTGCCTATTTAGGTAGCAATCCCTGCTTAATACATGTTCGTTGAACAAGAATGACAAGGTACTTTGTTTTAGATTTTATTTTTTTTTTTGTTGTATATGTCCAAGTGGTTTTTTTCTGAACTTAACGAATGTAAATCTTATCCAAACGTTTGTCGTTTCCAAGAGCTAAACTGTTGGCCATTTTTAGGGATTATTTTTACTTTAAACGTTATTTTTTTTAGTGGATACCCGTATTTAAATAGACGATCCGTTTATTTTAAACAGTATTCATTTCGTCTACTGTATACACTAGAAAACTTAATTAAGAAAATCTCTCCGGCTAGAATCTTACCTGCGTTCCTTCTATGAAGAACGTCACCATAAAGCAAGGCCCTATTTAAACTTCAATTAAAATTTTTATTTAATTAAGTGTTTTTTCTGGACCCAGAGTGTGTAGAAACTGTCCAAATGTTCTGAAATTCCGAGCGCTTTCAGTTATACATTTAGCCATCATCAAGGATTGGTTTTATTTTTGCTTTTTAATTGTCTGTATGGGTTTTGTGTATGTTTCTAAATTCATAGGGAGTTTTATTTTCACAACATAGTTAGCACGTTTAATGTAACACATAAAAAACATTAAAAATAATGCAAGCCTTAATAAAAAAAAGAGAAAGGCAACACTCAATGATATTAACTACAAAAATTTTGGCCACAATATGAAATATGTATATATATATATATATATATATATATATATGAAAGTGAACATTGAAGTCAACACTTAGAGGACACAGGCTGTTTCATTGTAGACGCAATCGTCGAACACCCGTGGCCTGACGATTGCGTCTAGCATGAAACAGACTGTCGCCTCTAAGTGTTGACTTCAATGTTCACTTTTATATTTACACACGCTCTATCTCTGATATTCAACACTATATCCCATAAATATAGCACACCTTAAGACTATATTTCTTCACACACGCACACACACATATATATATGTTGAGTGACTTTTCATTTCGTATATATATATGTGTGTGTGTGTGTGTGAATATATGTGTGCATGTGTACACGGATTGAATTGTTTTGACAAATGAAAAGTCACTCAACGTTGGCCAATGGCAGAAATGATTATTTTGTTTTATTCTTTATTATTGATATACAATTGCAATCTCCCAAAGGATATGGGAACTCATAAACAACGTTGTTTTCACGTCAGTGGTATTTTGATGTCCTGAATTACTGGTAATAATTAGGTTTGAAACTTTTTACAGCAAATGATAACTATAAACTATTCATTGTAATCCTAAAATGATATTTACCGGCGACTGATGTTTTTAATGACTTTTTCATCTTGTTTATAGTTCAGGCGCATCTTGTTAGAGTAAAATATTTTTTTTATATCTGTTTATATCAGGATCTTTGTTTGTGTTATCTCTTCTAAAATTATTTCATACAAACACACGTTGAAACACCGATTCTTGTACGATAAGTTAAGGAACGTCGATCATGGTCAGTACCTCGATGGGTGACCGCTTGAAAATACCAGGTGCTGCATCCCTGGATGTGCGGATGCTGTTGTCGATAATGACTCGGAATTGTATCCCCCTAAATTATTGCAATAAAGAAACATTTTTCGCTTAAAATAACCTGAAAAAGATTGAGAAGCCTTAAAAACAAATTAATCTGTTCACACACATTGATATTATAAGCGTAGCTTAGACATGGCACAAGGCCAAAAGTAGAGGACACTCAGTAAGGTTCGAACTTACTACTCAGTCGCAATTGTTCTAGCGAGATAAACTTGCTATTACACCACTTCGAGGTGCCCTGCGTAGGTATATATAATTAGATTATAAATAAATGTATTTGAAATGACTATTAATAAAAGCGGAAAGTTCTCTAAAGTGCATGAAAAAATCATTACTCCAAATATAAACATTTGTTCTGGATTATTTTCAAATATCTCTTTTCCAAAGCCAACATATTTATGTACTGCCACTTAAAATCATTCCTGGAAAACTGATAACACATGCCTTTAAATAAACAAAATCAATAATAATGGCAATATAATTTCACTTTCGTTTGAAGAACATGCCAAAAATTTTTCGCCAGTTAGAGGCCATAGTTTCCTTTTCTTTAAAGACGAGATAGTTTTGAATTTGAACGCAAATTTATATTATTTTTCTTAACGTTAATTTTTTTCCCGTATATAAATACAAGTACTTAAAAACATTTTGAAATTTGCCTTGGTAAGGTTCTTAAATAAAATTTCGAAATTTGCCTTGGTAAAGTTCTTAAAATTTCGAAATTTGCCTTGGTAAAGTTCATCCGAGAGCAAAACGCGTTGGCATAAAAAGTTTCATATTTACTGAAAACAGCACTGGTAGAAAAATTAATAAAAAAAGAAACAACTATGTAAATCCCACAACCTGCACTGACAAATATGGGACCACAGTTTTCAACTAGTGCGTCGTTGA